TATATATTTTATAAAGATCAATAATGTTATGTTGCTAAATCATTTTGTTTTGTTTTGAAATGTGAAAGGCTAAAAGGCAGCAAATAAGCTTTTTACTTTAGTCTTTGCATGTTATGATAATTCCATTATATTATTCATTAAATTATGATGAATATGTGGTTAGAATTTGTTTTCAGCATACAAAGAGGGAATTTGATCTTGAAAGTAAACTTCCTAAGAATCAGTAGAGAATATAGAGGTGTAAGGTGAACAAAAAGATGGATCTGATTAAAAAATGCTAGGAAAGGTTTTGAGCACAGGACAAAATAAAAGTGCACTAGTGAAAGCCTGCAACGAGATGTTCCTTACTTTGAGTATGTGAGCTGTTTTCCAGAAATTTTTAGCACTACAAACATAATATTGAGGTTATATATATATATATATATATATATTATTATATCACATAATATTGAGGTTATATATTTATATTTATATTTATATTTATATTTATATTTATATTTATATATATACGCACACATATTTACATAAAAGAGAAATGTTGTTGAGGGAAGTATATGGATAGCCACTGAAATTGGGATGTACTGGTAGACTGATAATAGAATCAAGTTCATATGAGCTCAGCATCATCAGCATTATAATGTTTAGTTGATCCCATTTGTTGTTAATCCTGAGCTCTTAGGAGTTCTGGTCATTTTATAACACAAATCTCAAAGATGAAATTCAGCACCTGGTGAATCATTTGAGGATTTCATCATTTGGGATAAGGGAAATACCTGGTATAGCTTTTAATTACTTTCAGATACTTTTTTTTTCCTATTCAGATGCATTTCTCTGTGAGGTGATTATGCAGGATGCTGTAGAAATGTTGCTTTGCTTTGAACGTGTTTGTTTTTAGGGAAAGAGTAGAGTATGCAAATTGTAGTGTTACTAATTGTGCTGTTCAGTGGAGAGAATGCAAAAATGTTTCTTCAAGTAAAAGATTACTGCTTCCTATGACTTTTTACTCCCCACAGTACAGATGAAAGTACAGCAACCTGTCAAAACTGAGCAAAAATGGAGATAACCTAGATCTGTTACTTTCTGATTTTTTTTCTTTATTTACTATTATTCTTTCTTCCTGCAACCTGTTTTCCTACCATGTTTGTTTTATATATTTTTTTCCCCCCTTCTTCTTGAAGTTAATCTCTTACATTCTCCTTTACCCAGTCCTCTTATTCTTGCTGTTTGAGTTTGCATGACACAGTTGGGCTGGGTTTTCATAGGTATTAATCAAATCTTCACCAGCAAAAAGGAATTGATGAAGTTCAGGTTTTGTCTTTTTTTCTTCAATGTCCAAGTAGTAAAGTATGAACAAATGTGTTAAACATCTTCTCTGAAATCTGCTGTGGATTTCAGTCAGCTTGTGCAGAACCAGTTCATGATGTGAATTATTCTATGGCCCTTGGATTGGCCCTGCAGCGCCAATCATTCCACTGCACTGCTGGTGGAGAACTTCCAGCACCTAGCCAGCCCTGCTCTGCTCACTGATGGTTCAGATCCCTGAAAACTCAAGTGTAAAACAGTTTCCAGATTTTCTTTTTTGTGTAATCAGAGGGCTGGCAGCCATAACCAAAACTGTCAACATTACTTTTGTAATCTTTCTAGTTTTTGAAAAAATTATTTGGTTTGGAATTTGGGGATTTTCCTATAAAATACAAAATTCAAGGGTTAGTCAGCTTCATGCTTAGCTCACCTTGGAATCACAAAAAAAACCCAGTTATGTTTCCTGAAGACATATGATGCCTGTCAGTGGATATTTCCATATTTTATAATGGTACTTCTCTTTCCTATTTCTGCCATTTATAGAGCTATAGTACCAGTGAACACAGGCTCTGTACTGTTTTCACTATTGCAATGTCAAAATAAAGCTGGAAGCATAGACTTTTTTTTTTTCAGAAATTCTGAGACATAAATTATTTCTTCCTTTGATAAAAAGGCAAAAAATAACTATCAAGAGTATAACAGTGAGCATAAAATCAAAGTGGTGAAAAAAAGTACTAGTAATTAAAGAAAGCTATGAAAAAAAATTCAGTAGTTCCTCATTTAGGAAAAGAAATATCATCCTCCTGTTTCATGCACTGCCCTATTTTTATCATCCTAGAAAGAGCCTACAGTGAAACAATTTTAGTACTCATCTGAATAGATCATTAATTTGGATAGAGAATTCTTCACCTGAATTAAGTGAGGTGAAGAATTAATTTTCCCCTTAACTAAGTTAGATTCTCTGGCATATAGGTGATGATGTTTTTCAGTGAAATACGGGATCTCTTCTCTGCTTTGCAGAGAGCCGAGAAATTGCAAATATCTTTTTGTTTATCCAGTTGAGGATCTAACCACCATCCTTCCATCATGTTACTCTTTGGTTAAAGTATGAAAGTATCCACTTTTGTTCACTTAACATTTCAGGCGTTTCTGTGCCTCTTATTTCAGAGATAAATTCTTTAATGCTGAAAATTTCTTTTTAACCCTTTATTGTAAAAAGCATTTTTTCAAAAGGAGATTTTGTAATGTTCTTTCTTTGTCCATAGAATTGAGTACTGCAAAATGGTTGCAAACTGTCCTGTTCCTAACAGGAAGTTAGAAACATTTTGGTCACTTCTATTTACACACTACTGTTAAGCTATGTGCTATTTCATTACAACACTTAGGTGAATTTATAATTTAGCTCTACCATTTTTAATTATTTATTAGAATGTAGTTGTTCTTTAAGTACAGGATAAAAAATTGAGTCTGAATCTTAACTTTACGTAGCTTTGCTTCCAAATTTTCCAAACCCTTACCTTCACTTTTCTCCAGGTTCTTTAGTTGTGCCAAGATAATTATACTGAATGTCTCTCCAGTGTCCCCATGTACAGTGGGATGGCTGAAGCATGTGAAGTGGATAATGCCAAAGTGAAATTTAAAAATCACACAATTTTTGCTGTAAACTCTGCTGAATTACTGATTATTTATTTAATTTATTAATTTTAAACTGTATTAGTTGGACTGCTAAAATATGTTATCTGCCTTATAAACCTGCCCTGGTAAAGTTTGAAAATTACTTGGAGCTAAACAGAGTTTCCTCTTCAGGAGTGACAAAAATCTTGGTGAATATATTTGAAAGCTCCATTTAATATATGTTCAAAAACATTGTTTAGGAAGTATTTGGGGACTTATTTTCTTATCTTTTTTTTTTTTGTTCTTATTCTGTTGCTGTCCTGTGGAGCACTACCTTTGAGAAAAGCGGTTGTGGCTAATAACATTCCCAGTCTTTTTGTTGCAATGTGAGCTGAAATATGAAGCGGCTTACAGAAGTCAGTACCCAATACAAGCAGAGAAGCAGAGAAATTGTTTATTAGAACAAAGAATTTTGGAGTTGGGCTCATGAGACAGTATTTTACAGATAAGTGAGCCATTTTGATAAGTTTCCCAGTTTGAGTTAAAGAAAAAGCGTATCTGGCAATAATATTTAAGTGACTTAATGAGATTAATAATCTGAAAAACGTGTCTAATTTATATAGGTATTTACATTTTTTCTGAAAAACAATAGTTTTGCAAGGAGGCTTCTTATTGTAAAATTTTATATTTTATTTTTCTTTTTAGCCAGAGATTCACTCCCTATTAAAAAAATAATAAAAGATCTTCTATTAGAGTTGTGGGTCTAAATTATACTTTTAAATCCTATTGGCCAGAAAAGAAGATTTTATATTGTGCATAATTTGCAAGGTCCTGTAAATTGATTTTTCAGTCTTGCAATAATGGATTTTGTCCTGGTATTTGCATTATCCACAAAGCATGTATTACTGTTTCCCATGTATTTAAATGAAGGCTGTGTTTAAAAGGTACTCTTCTGCTGGAGACTAAATGGAATGTGTTTTATTGATCTGGGACTCCCTTATTCTCTGTTGACTATGTTTATGCATTCAGCAGAGGTTACTGATTCATATAGCAATAGGAACCCTTGAAATGCCAGGTACCTGCTGGGATCAGCTCTCTTTCAGACAAAGGACTGGTAAAGCACAAATCAGGGTAAAAAGTTTGGAGAGCTATAGAAAATACTTTTGATTTTGAGAATCTTTTTAATCTATAATTTAATTAAATTGTGTAGAAAATATCATGTTTTCCTATATTCAGCTTCCTTTGACCATAACACTTCTAGGAAATTTAAAAAAAAATATACAAATAAGCCTGAACCAAAACAACCAGCAAACCTACATTTAGTAGGATTTTGATAAGATTATACCAAGCATCATAAAATTAAAACATTTCCAAATGGAATTTACTCTTGAACTATGGAGCATTATCTTGCAGGCTCAGTAAAACATACATTTTTAAGGGAATCAAAATTCTTATTCCCTCCATGAAGTTCTTTGATTCCTAGAACAAGATTAAGAAAGCAGGCAGCTGCTCAGCAGGATTTTTTGTTGTTCTTCAATGTATGCTTTCCTTTGTCTTCTCTTCAGCTCAGAAGAGAGGACTGTTCAGTTCCTTATACCACCCAAATATATAAGTACTTCAAAGACACCAATTAATGTCTCTTACTAAGTTATTTATGAAGTGAGGAGTGTCATCATCATCGTTTAGCTCATCAGTAACTGCAGCACAAAAAAATTAAGGTGAATGTAACTGTTAATGTGTTTTAATCTTGTGAGTCCACCAAAGAATGGTTCCTGTGCATTTTCCTTACATCTGCCACTACCTGGGTCTACTATGCATGGTACAAGATAATTATTCTTCTAAGAAATATTTTGTGAATAACTAGTTTCTCAGCGTGTAATTAGTTATTCCTATAACTGTAAGCAAAAGACCACCTTAAATTTTATCTCTTTCAATATTTTTATGATTATAGTTTGCAATAGAAGTCCTTATTATGTGAGGGGTTTTTTCCACTATTGATACTTATTAGAGGATTTATTATGTATTTCTTCAGATGCCAACCATATAGGCACTAAAACTGATATTTTTTTCCTTCTTTCCCTTAGGCATTTCCGGGAAATACAAATTCTGACAGTGTGGTCCGGCATGATCTGCAACATCCAGTTATTGCTCGCTATGTAAGGATAGTTCCTTTGGACTGGAATGGAGAGGGCCAAATTGGGTTAAGAATTGAAGTCTACGGTTGTTCCTACTGTAAGTTTTTTCATGATGATCCTTTTTTTTCTCCCCTAAGTAAAAACTCACTTTGAATTTTGGATTAAATCCATATGTCAAAGACTTTGACAATCCTGACCTTGGGTCCAGGATTGCTAGTTGTGTTACCTAGGGCTTCGTGAAATATTTGTTGGAACTTTAGTTCTGAGTTGATAGTTTATTTTTCTCTGGAAAAGATGCAACATTGGAATTTGCAATAGTGCTTTGAAGTTGCTCCTTCTCATCTTCATGGTTTCTGTTGTAGAAGGCTTTGGCTATTGCGTAGGCTTGATTAGTACATTTGAGGAAGAGATCATGTTCAAAAAAATGTCATGCTGCTTCTTGAGAGATAAAATGGAAAGAGGACATAATTTAATGCCTGGTGCATTTTCTGAGATATTTCATTGAGTATTTGAATGTGACTTCTGAATTTCTTTGAAAATCTGGGTGAGCAATAGTACAAGTGCTTCCACAGCTAAGAGCAGAACTGATAATGCTTTAAGAAATTGTGCTCTTCCTTTAATTCAACCCAGCCAGTGCTTAAGTCATCAAACCTGCAAAACTGAGTTTATGATATCCTATTTCTATGTTCTTTTTAGGCAGTATCCTGGATTTGTTGGTATTTTAGCTGGAAGATGTTATTTGAGATTTTTCTTTTTAAAACCAGACTTCAGAATAAAATGTGGAAGACTCATCACTGACTTCCTTGGGTGGCATAAGCTGTTTTTGCCATCCTGACTAGCAAAACCAGGTGTAATTTCAGTTGCCTTTTTTTAAAAAAAATTGATTAGACAGTGAAAAGGCTCCATACTTTCATTCAACACCAATGGAACCATGAGGAATAGAGTTTTGATATTATTTACCTTATTTCCATATAATGAATGTTTTAAAAATGTGTATTGAATCAGAGAGAATTTCCCAATGGCTGGAACTTAGTTGAGAAATCAAATCAAACTTGCTATGGTGTTGGTGCTGCTGTACTGGGGATACATATGGTTGTTATAAATATTTGCTAAAATACCAGAGCAGGACCTATTGCACTAAGGCAAAGCATAATGGTTTAAACTAAAAGGGGGTCAACTTAGGTTAGATATAAGGAAGACTTTTTTTACCATGAGGGTTCTAGAACACACTAACACTTTACCCACAGAGGCCAAGGATGCTCCATCCTTGGAAAAATTTAAACTCATGTTGATTGGGGCTCTGATGAACCTGATCATAATTTTACTGATCTAGTTGAAGACATGTCTCATTATTGCAGACAGATTGAACAAGATGGCCTTTAAAGGTCCCTTCCAACCCAAACTGTTTCATATTTCTATGATATCTGTTGCCTGAGGAACTGTAGGTTACGCTAAAGTTAATTCTTACTCAAAGAGAATTGAGCTTCTGAAGTTTTAGGCACAACTCTGATTATTCAGTACATGGCTCTTAATAAACAAGAGTTTACCATCATACTGCTAAAATGTTTTATGTGCTCTTTTAAGTACACCAAACACTACAGCATGGCTAATTTTCCATCATAAAAAATACTTGCTTCTAAGTATACCTCCTTGCTTGTACATCAAATACAAATTCAGGCATTTGATTCAAAAAAACAGCACCTAGTTTACTGTCAAATGTAGCTCTCTTTAACAGAATAAAATGTAGCAGAATCAAACAAGAAACTCCACGACATTTACTGCAATATTTACACATAAAAAATGTTACATTTTGATGGAATGAATAGACAAAATGCTGTAGGTATGCAACAAGATACTTTTAGAGGTTTAAAGTAAATGTGAGAAAAAGTAAAACATGGCTTGCTGACAAAATTATTTTAGTTGTTTGATGAAAAGTTGCTTGCTTGCTGAACTTTTGGAGGAGAAGAACAAAGAACACAAGAACACAAAGTATGGAACTGTAAAAATACTGATAAAATGTGTCTTCACAGAATAACTAAGGTGGCACAATATAATTTCATAATTTTACTGATAGAGTATTACTGGTCTGTTTGTATTAGAACTTACGTCAGTAATCATTGGAGATTTTTTATTTTAAGGTTTAAAGTAATATATTCGGGTTTTATGTGTTCAACATCTCTGCTACAATGCAGTGTGGTTTTTACATGCAGGAATTGGGCTGCTCCCAAAATGGTATCAGTAGAGAGCAGCAGAGCAGCTGAGAAGAAAACTAAAAAATAATTGTGTAAAGAGAGAGAAAGGCAGCCCTTTGGTATGAATACTGTAACCAGGGAGTACTGTTTACAAATTCCCAGCTTGTCTTCAAATGAATTATTTGGAGCCAGGTGTAAATGCTGAACCTTTCCATGTAGATGTGTCCTTTGATAGAGGCCAAGTTTTTAACCTTATGATTAGAAGTGCATATATTTGCATATAAATATAAGCACTGCCATTAACCGGTGTTATTTGCAGATTAATCCTTCTGTCATTTAAGGAACTAACCATTTTGATAATCACCAGTTTTAAAAGCCTGGTTAGCAAACAGGTTTCTACTCAAATCTGCCCCAATTTTTGGACCTATTACCTAAATAAAAGGCTGCCCAATATATCACAATTATAATTTTTCTTTTAGTTTAATAAATTAGTGTATTCTGTTATTTAGATATCTTCAGATACAAAATTCAGATTTTCCCACATTGCATGCAAGGTTTAATTGCAAAGCCATGCACACTGACTGTTAAAAATCTTTCCTTGAACATTACTGCAACCTTGTCATTGGCCTCAGACCTTTAAGAAAAATGCTTTCCTCATATTGAACTGCTTATTCAAACGCCAGGTCACTAATTGCCGTATTTCTGGTTCCTATTTTGTTTGTATAAGATACACATTTATACAGGTGAAATCCATGTCCTTCCTTGCCCAGCAAATCGACTTTAAAAAGAGGTCTGTTTTCCAGACAGCAATTAAACTTCACATCTGTACCCTGAAGAGGTTGATAGCATTACCAAATCTTCTTCTTTTAGTGTTTGTTTTCTTGAAGTCTAAAAACTCTTCTTTTAAATATCATCTCTGTATTTTGTGTAAATGAGATCTGTGGGGGTGTCTTCTATCAGAAATCACCAAAAAAGAACTATGGCCTTACTCTACAAAAAGGTTCAGAAGGAATTTTTTTTTTTCCTATAGTGGAAAACTGACTATGTCTTAGTAAAAAAAAAAATACAATTGGGTAAAGAACTTGCTTAATAGCTACATTAATGCAGAAATTGCATGAGCAAAATAAGCTTGAAAAATCACAGCAAATAGACTTATATAACATAGAAAACACTTTTTGGTTAATGAAACTTTCAGCTTTTATCTTAAAATTATGAATTTCATAAACCATAAAGGGGAAGAGGGTCTTTACACTTGAAGGAACATCATACATCTAAAAGCAAGTCACAAAGAAAAAAACAATATAACCAAAGTCAAAATATTCGCTGAAATCAGCTAAATGAAAACTGATGGCTAAATTTCATTCGTTCTCTTTTGGAGATAGAGAGCAATGGCACATGACATGGATCTTCCACCATGTTCACTTTTATGAATTTTTGAGACAGGCAGCAAAGACATGGCATCTGGAGGCCATGAAAACTACAATATAGTACTTTTACTACTGATTCATGAAGATCATAATAAGCTCCTGCAGGATCATTGCCATATGAATTGTTCTCTTAATCTCCATCCTGTGGCAGATAAATGCCTACAAAAAAAAGGACAAAAAGCATATTATTGCATAGGGTTTGGCTATGCTTTTCAAGGTAGCTGAAAGAGGCCTTCTGGGTCATGAAATCCTATGAGAGGAAAACACTCATGGTACCTTTATTCATAGAGGAGTTTTTAATATGGCTGTGCTGATTTTCTGGATCTAAACATCTTTTTAATGCAATTGCACATTTGATGGTAAAAATTTTCAAATTCCCGATGACTCACTTCTGAATTGTAGGATATACTTGAAAAAAACCAAAACAACACCTGGAGATGGCAGAAAGCCATGCAAATATTCAATATACTCAAGGCAGAAACAATTATAAAGCTCCATAAATGGCTGCAAGCCAAGCTGTTTACATTTACTGACCAGCTCTGTTTTCTAATACTTAGGAAGCAATGGGATTGAACAAAGATGACATGACCTGTATTTGCAAATCTGTTCTTTTTCAGCTGTTAGCTCAGTTACATGTACTGCTATGTCAAATGTAACTGTCTCAGTTTCCTGATTGGTGACTTTAGAGAGGGAGGGAAAAGAAAGAAAAATAGTAACCACAGTCCTGTGGTTATTCATGAAATAATGAATATTTTTATGGCGAGCATTTACTCTACAAATAGTAAAGTGAAAGAAATTTTGGTCATGGAACCATGTTACAAAAACTAAAATAAAATTAGGAAGTGCTCTTAAGCATTGAGCCAAATGAATATTTGCAAGAACTGATGAGGAAGTACTGAAGTGGTAAAACCTGTGGGCTGAAAAGATCTCTTGGTTGCTGTAGTTAATCTTGTTTGCCTGCGGTGACTTTGAGTTAAAACACAGTTTCCTTTGACAGTTCATTCTGCATTCAGCTATACTTAGCTGCTAGGAAATTTACTTATTTGAAATCTGCTTAGCTTGGTTTCATGGTATAGGCACTAACTAACTATCCATGTCTCACTGTGCCCCATGGTTGCTATAGACACTTTAAAAGAGAAACTTCCACATTGTCCAGGATAATCTGTTGCATCCAAATACCAAAATGACTGTTTAAGGTAGATGAGAAAGCTGCTTTATTACCTTTTTGTTGGATCTTATCAAGTTTCACATGTCCAGATTCAAATGTATACCCTGGACTTTTTGTTTCACCAGCATATAGCATAAAAAAGGTCCCTTGATGTGTCATGACTCCTATTGAAAAGTGTATAGTGTATTACTCCCTGTGGTAAATAAAATAAATAAGAACATGCTAATAAATTTATGCATACATATTTCTGCTCTTACACTTTTGGTACATGTGTGAATATATGCCTAAATGGTGAAGGTGCTTATGTAGT